CTCCGCTGAGCAACTGGTTTAGTTTTGCCCATTGTGAAATGTTTTTAACAGAAACTGCACACTGTTGGTAAGGAAAACAAATGCCCAGGTTGAAGGGAGTATATTGGCACGGTGTTGCAGACAGTGTTCATACTTTGTCTAATTCAATATACACATAAAATAACAAACCTGTGCAAGATTTAGCTCAATCCGTCATCGGAGTCACGTGACCCAAAAAACCTCCCATATTTTATTTTTTGGTCACGTTACTCATAATCATTAGCAATGCCAAAATCTCCAACCATGGTACCATTATTTACTTACTTTCAAGTATTATACATCGTGATATTCGACAGTTCCGATTTTGAGTTTCTGCAAATGGTGTATGCTCCCTTTAAAACAAGTTTCTAGAATAGTACAAAAAGTTTGCCGTCTTGCATGACCAAGTATCCGGATATGACGTCATCTTGTTTTTACAAAGACGCGGCAACGCTGCCCATGCTGCCCATGCATGCTGTTAGTACATTGTATCACACTTGCTTTTGGGTCACCACACAGCGCACATCTTGCAAATCTTTCCCACGACTTAAATAGTATACTGAGACTGAAGTTCAACGTTGAATTTCCTTGCAATGGACTATCTGCAGGAAATGAAATGTCTCCGTCAAGAGAAGGGGTGGCACCGAGAAGGGACAGCTGCATTAACATTTGTGTCAACGATCAATGGGTATTGGTTACATTCATAAATATACATTCAGTTCTTACCTTATTTAACGTCTCACAATGAGTTTCTCTGAACCTTGGGTTTTGTCACTGATTTTTATTCCTCCATGATTGCAGGTACCATGCCTACCACAACCGTCCTCTGCAGGGGCGACAGTTTGTCATGCAGTGTTCTCACCAATCCAGCAAATACGACAAGTGGGGATGTGTGGTCAAGGCTCCACAGCTTGAAGATGTTGATGAGGCTGTCCAGGGGATCGAAACCAGAGCTGGTCCTAATCGCACCACCGTAGCTGATGTCGCCGGCAAGGTCATCGGTCACGTGCCCCGCAAAATATGCAACGTGCTGGCCGCTGGCCTTGCCGTGGATTTTTCCATCGCAAGGGCCGTGTGTGTGTTCACGGGGGAGTTCCAACACGGCGGCGCTGCCTCCGGAGGTGGCCCAAAGCTGGTGGCCGTCTACCACCTGGAGGTGGTGCGCCAGCGAGATGCGGTGGAGATTGCGGACAGCATCCGTCCACACCTTACAGATAAAGACAGGCTGTGGATCTACTGAGGAACGCCGGCCCTACTACCCAGTCATCTAGACATCAAGAGTTTCTGTTGTTTTCGTAGTTTTAGCCTGTTTTCAGTACATTATTTATTTATGCTGCATAGTACTTCACCAAAAAAATGTGATTTTATTTTTAATTTAGAAAACTGTGATTTTACTTTAATTTAAGACTGTGATTTTTATTTTAGTTTAAAAGACTGTGATTTTCTTTTTTATTTAAAAGACTGTGATTTTATTTGTAACCCTAAGGAAATTAACAACAGATGTACACCACAGCACAAATAATGACAAAGTGAATACAACAACAGGCAAAGTTTCATCATGATCGATGCCCACTTTATTCCTCCAACATCGACAGGTTATCAATTATTTGCTGCAATTATTACTATAAAATGCAATATAATTTTGTAAAATCCGGAACTAAAGTGATTGTTTTGGCATGCAATAAATCAGTCGAAATCTTTTCAAATTTCTTAAATTATGACCAAAAGTATATTGTAAAATCAGGAATCCTATATGTTACTGAAATAATTGTTTTGGCATGCCATTAATCAGTCGAAATCTTTTCAAATTTCTTAAATTATGACAAAAGTATATTGTAAAATCAGGAACCCTATATGTTACTGAAATGATTGTTTTGGCATGCAATTAATCAGTCGAAATCTTTTCAAATTTCTTAAATTATGACAAAAGTATATTGTAAAATCAGGAACCCTATATGTTACTGAAATGATTGTTTTGGCATGCAATTAATCAATCGAAATCTTTTCAAATTTCTTAAATTATGACAAAAGTATATTGTAAAATCAGGAATCCTATATGTTACTGAAGTGATGGTTTTGGCATGCAACAAATCAGTCGAAATCCTTTCAAATTTCTTAAATTATGACAAAAGTATATCCATAAATCTATATTAAAAGTATCTATTTATTTGTTTTAAATCGTTTTGTAAATCAATAAAACTATAATCAACAATGAAAGGATTGTAACATGTCTTTGCATCTCTGTACCGCGTTCATTTTCCAATCCAGTCTTGCAGAATAGTGATGTATACCGGAAGTTGTCGAATACGACAATGGTTGTTAAATATGACAACGTTGTCGAATTCGTACATTTCCCGGACTGAAATGCGTAGAAAATGAACCGCGTAGCTTTTGGGGGTCTGACGACTGTACGTCGGTAGGCCTACTGAATCCCCGGCCTACTTACCATCTCACTCAACAACATATTTCTTCTTGTATGGAAACAGCAGGCCAGCAAACCATACCCGACTTAGGTTTATCGGGTTAACAATTAAACCGATTGGTTAAAAAATCAATGGGGACTTCCGCAATGCGCGAAAAACATTGCATGCACCGCGCCGCGTACATTATCCCGCGGCACTTCACACACATTTTGCACACAAGTACATAAACAACGCATTGGTAACCATAGCGGCAGACAAAGTAGGTCATGGAATGAGGGCGCTATTACAAAATATGCTAGAAAAACTTTGACTGAGCGACATCCCGCGGCCTCGCAACAATGTTTCTAGTGGCTTTTGCATTATTAATATCGGCACCGAATGTCATCTTGCTATTATTGGACAAGTTTAAGCAGAAATTTTTGTTGATCCAGTGGCGGCTAAGTTCAACACAAATGGCGCATTTTTATTAAATTTTGCCGCTACTCTTGGGCACGTGCGCTGTAGTAAAACTTTCAGGATGTTACCCCATTTTTTTTTTACGGGAGGGGCTCTTTTAAAAAGGCGCCACAAAATACCAGCATATTTTTCTGACAAACAATTAGTGAAATATGTAAGCTTAATCATAATTGGTCAACTTGTATATAAAGGAATATCTTATATATCAATTGGAAATTTGTTCAAGCGTGACTCGTTGGCCAGGAAGCTATTCTGCTGTGCATGCCCGATCGATATTCGGCACAATTCCAAGTATCCGGTGTCGTGCCAAAAACCGTCCGGTGCCAAATAGTGTCCGCTGAGCATGCGCAGTGGGCGCCAGACACTATTTGGCATGTAATACATGCCAAATAGTGTCCGATGCCAAATAGTGTCCGGACGCCGTCGTTCCAACACAAGGGCGCACGTACGTCCTGCCGGACAGTATTTGGAAGGAAAAATCGGACAGTATTTTGCAGGGGTGAATCGGACAATATTTGGCAGCGCGGGGAATCAGACAGTATTAGTTGGCAGGAAAAATCGGACTATATTTGGCAGGAAAAATCAGACAATTTTTTCTGCAGGGAAAATCGGACAGTATTTTGCAAGGGGGAATCGGACAATATTTGGCAGGGGGAATCGGACAGTATTTAGCAGGAAAAATCGGACAATATTGGGCAGGAAAATCGGACACTATTTGGCAGGGGAATCGGATAGTATTTAGCAGGGAAAATCGGACAGTATTTGGCAGGGGGGTCGGACAGTATTTGGCAGGAAAAATCGGACAGTATTTTGCAGCCGGGAAAAATCGGACAGTATTTTGCAGAAAAATCGGACAATATTCAGTGGCAGGGTGAATCCATATTCAGTGGCATGGGGAATCAGACAATATTTGGCAGGGGGATCATGGAATCGGACAGTATTTAGCAGGAAAAATCGGATATTTGTTTCGCAGGGAAATCGGACAGTAATTGGCAGGGGGGAATCAGATAGTATTTAGCAGGAAAAATCGGACAGTATTTGGCAGGAAAATCGGACAATATTATTTTGGCAGGGGGGATCGGACAGTTTTTGGCAGGAAAAATCGTGCGTACTGCACTGCACGCCAAACAGGAGAACTGACGCGAAAAAAACCCACAAACATTTTGCACAAATATAACTTTGTTTAAACTATTAGGGAAACCAAGTAAATAGTTATCACAGATAACAAGGAAAACGTTAAAACAGATTGTAAAAAGCAAAGGTGAAAGAAATCTTATCTATACGACGTCTTGACAGCTCGTAACGCAATAGGATGCACGCTAAGCGCGGACACTATTTGGCAAGCTTCCGTAAACAATGTGACGTCATGGGCGCATGGCCAATCAGAGCGCATTATGCTAATTAGCGGACACTATTTGGCACCGGACGGTTTTTGGCACGACACCGGCATCCCCATTTTTTATTTTTGGGTTATTTCATTGGCACTATGCTAACACTTTCATAAGGTCAATTTCCATTCAAAAAAAGGTCTTCCAGGAAGATTATCATATCAATATATAGCTGAATGGATTTGACTGAATTTCGCCAATAAAGAGGTTCGGCAGACAGAATTTCAAACCAGCCTATACTCAGATCGAGTCACCATTGAACTACAGTCAAACCGGCTAATACAACGTCATGCATATAACAAGCTAAATTTTAGATACAAAATGTTTGATTTTCTTTGTTTTCCTTTTTTCCTGCAATACAGTCAATACAAGGTGCCTGTTATAATAACAAGGCAATTTGTAATCCCAAGGCTATATATGGACCATTATCATCGACTCCCCGCAAGTTATGGGCCGAAGTTGTTCGGGTCGATGTATGAGCTCATTCGATTCATTGAGCTCATTCAGTACAACTTCTGTATTGCCAGTAAAATAGAAGAGCCAAATCTATTTTTTTTTCCGGGGGGGGGGGGGGGGGGGGGGGAGAACTGGAAAATAGCACGGACCGGTACATTTTTAAAACAAAATTCCGTGTCTCCAGATAAACTTTTATGCCGACCACTGAAAATACTCCGGTCGACGTTAGTGTTTGAAATAGCGCCCTCTACGTTAATAATTGAACATGCATGAATTTGCGCCAAAAAATAATGCGCATGTGCTGAAAAGTGCGCGGTACTTTCATTTCGTCTCTGCTTAGTCCACGTGTAAGTTACCGTCGTTTTCTGGCCTTAAATCTTCTCATCAAGTAGCAGTGAATTTGTAAATTGAGCCTCAGCCAGCCTGAGACACAGTAAGTTGTTGATATCCTTCTTGTTCCTTGTTTGTACTGCAGTCTGTATGGAAACTTTGGAAACATCCAATCAGTTTGAACTTTGAATATGCTTCATGAATTTCTGAATAAACGAGCACATTTTTTAAAAATTAGGCCTATTTGATAATACTTTTATTGGAAAGAGTTTCCATATACGAAGTTCAATAATTTTCCTCTGTATTGACTAACAAGCCCCCAGATAGCAATTTCATGTCATCAAAGTCAATTTGAGCAGTGAGAAAATACAAGCATTTTCTTAGAAAACACTTACTAATTTTTTAGTCCAATCTCATCACCCTGCTCATAGGGTTTGTACACAGGGTGTTGAGTGAACTTCGTATATATGGAAATCTTTCTGATATATTATCAGAATGGCTCAATAAGACCGACATTAGGGTTTCTAAAATTTCTACGCAAGTCGTTAATTTGCATAAAAAGTGGCCCCACAAGTTTTTGTAAAAACGAGACCGTCTAGTTTAAAAATCGGTGGAATCGTGCGAATATAGCCGAGGATCATCTCCCTAGCTTTTGGGCTATTATCTAAGAGCAGATTTGATAAAATTAGGGTCCAAAAATGGGTCCTATTTGCACGAGAAAATGTAGGGATGCCACTGGTAACTTTGGCAGTATGCAGGCTCCGCATTACCGACAGGCTTCAAGCCTCAGCTGATGGGCTTTTAAAAAGAACTTTTGCAAATGGGAAAGACACTTTGGAAACATCCAATCAGTTTGAATATGCTCCATGAATTTCTGAATAAACGAGCACATTTTTTAAACAGTATTTAATTATACTATTATTTTTTGGTGTGGTGGTTGGGGGGGTGGCTGGGCGGGGGGGGGGGGGGGGCGTAGACAGAAGATATCAGAATGGCTCAATAAGACCGACAGCGGGCGCAATAATTTTGATTAGGGTTTCAAAAATGTCTACGCAAGTCGTTAATTTGCATAAAAAGTGCCCCCCCCCCCCCCACAATTTTTTGTAAAAAAAACCAGACCGTCTAGTTTAAAAATCGGTGGAATCGTGCGAATATAGCCGAGGATCATCTCCCTAGCTTTTGGGCTATTATCTAAGAGCAGATTTGATAAAATTAGGGTCCATAAATGGGTCCTATTTGCACGAGAAAATCATGTAGGGATGCCACTGGTAACTTTGGCAGTATGCAGGCTCCGCATTACTGGCAGGCTTCAAGCCTCATTACGGACACACTCTCGCAAAATGTGGCTCGGCAGCTTTCTATGCAAAAACCTCGTTGGCTCAGGGTTTTGTGCGTAAACCTTATCAGTCAGCCGATCACGCTCAATTGACTTCGGCCAAACCGCAAGTCCCATCATAAGGAAAAAGTTAACCATGTTAAGGCCAAAAAAAAAAGTCTCCGGTTTCTGGTATGCGCGCGCGTCGCCGTAGCCATGCGCGTCGGAAAAATGAAAACGTTTTTTTTTTTCAATGAAAGATGATGTCTCAAAACCGCCAAACTCACTGGTTTGACTGGAATTCTGCTGCTGCGCAATTTCAACGTGTTTTTAGATGGGGTTATGATCGAGAATAAGCTTTATGTGGCCTCTCTGGACTCCCATATATTTGCACTAAGTTTAGTCGGGCACCATTTGCAGTCATCAGCCGACATTTGAAGCAAAAAAGTCAGGTAAAAAAAAAAAAAAAAGCCGCGTCGCCGCACCACTTTTTGGACAAGCTCCATACCAGAAACCGGAGACTTTTTTTTTTGGCCTAACGGACCATTGTTTCCAAGAGTGTGTCTGTAATGAAGTAGCCTAGTCCGAGTAACTTGGACCCAACTAATCGCCTTTTTAACATTTGGACATGGTCTGGCGATAGGGTCCGGAGTAATTGCAGAATACCCCGCCACTCGGAAATACACCCCTCAAATCTCTTGCTACGTGGTTGGAATTAATACTTGCTGGGAAAAAAAAACATTTCAATTTCAATGGCATTGCCAGCTACGGGGATACTGAGTGTGGGTCCCCTTATGAGTACCCCTAAAAATTGTAAGTCCAAACCAACTACCAGCTACGTGCCAGCTACGTGGATATGGAGTGGGATTGCCCTAGTCTATGGCCCGCACTGAGTAGACTCTACATGCTGGGCCATATGGATATTGCTTCCCAATGTTGAGGATTTGAAATTTAAAAAGCCAAAAATTTTATTGCAATCATTCCAACTCGTACTCGGAAGGTGAGTTCAATACCCGTACCTCTCAATATTCCCCTAAAAATTAGGACTTCCTCGTGCTTCCTTCTTCTTGTGAAATTCGTCTCTTAAAAATGTTTTATTTGCCAACCCAAAATGGAAAATGATACAAGCAGCCCTGTCATGTAGACGCTGCAGTCTTGAGATGTCAGAGCTGCTGCAACCGGCCAAAAGAGAGTTGGCATAGTCTAGTCTGGACAGAATCAGGGCCCACATGGTATGAGCACAGCTTTCCTGGTCGAAGAAGCGACAAATTCTGGAGATGTTGCGTAAATTGAAATTGATTGACTGACAGAGGGATGTAACATGGGAGGACATGGTCATCAATTGGTCGAATGTTACTCCTAGATTTCTCACTGAAATGGAGGGGGACACATACTCCACTCAATCTCCACTCCAGTCAATTTCTTTGTTCAACTTACAATGAAATTTAAAAGTCTGTTGATTTTTTATTTGTATTTTTGGGTGTTATTCAAATAGGTGATTCTCATCCTGTGTGCTGAGGGACATCATCAGTAATATGGCCAATTGCGATTCTGATCCTGTGGCAGGTTTCCAGAATGCACAGGTTGAACTCCAGTCAGCAAAGAAGAAGTATGAAACGTACAAGGAAACTTTGAGAAAGATTCCTGAAGATGGAGTACTTCTCGGCGAGATCATAAATGTCGAATTGAGCAGCAGTCGGAGTATGCTGAACCTCGTGGACAGTCTTGAGAGAATGGCCAAGCCGAGGGCCTTCTGCTGTGGGGGCTGGGTTGAGCTGATGCAAAAGGATGCTGGTGCTAGACTCCAGATGCATGCAGATAAGCAAAATGAGTTTGGATGGCCGATCACCCAACTTCCTGTGGAAGAGCTTCTTGAGTACTGCACTCCAGCTCCTTACGGAGATCTTGAGAAGCAGGAGACTGTGTACAATCCCAATGTGCGTCTGGCATCCGAGTGCCAAGCCAGTAAATTCAAGTTTGCCAGGAAACCTGATCCTAAGCCCAAGTCCAGAAGAAGAAAGAAGATGGAAGCCCATCCTCCGCAGGTTCTGCTCGACTACAAACTAAACTTTCTTCCAATTATCAGGAGAAAGGTTAGCTCTACTCTCGCAAATGAGAAGGATGTCACTCTACAGTGCTACAAGCTGAATGTCTATGGCATTGGGGGTTTCTTCAGTGCTCACGTTGACACTCCTGTTGATGCAGCTCGTATGATCGGGACGGTGGTTGTGTGCTTACCTTGCCCACACACCGGAGGAGAGCTAATTGTCAAGCACAAAGGAGTCAAGGAAGAGTTTCTCTTTGCCAACCTGTCTGCTGATCAGGGAAAGATTCAGTGGGCTGCCTTCTACTCTGACTGCGTGCATGAAATCCTGCCGGTAAAGTCAGGACATCGCATCACTGTCACCTACAACATTTTCCGAAAGAAACCCAGTTGGTCTGACAGTGGGTTTGGATCTTGTAAAAATCATAGCTTCTTCTCGGGCCCAAAGATCGCAGCCGATCAGAATGCAACCTTGGACAACATCGTCTCGGATGTCCTCAAAATTGCCCAGAAGAAAAATCTGGAGCAATTGGGCATATTCCTGCGGCACAAGTACACCATGTCGGCACTGGCCAAGGGGAACCTCAAGGGCTTGGACCAGGTCCTGAGTGATGGTCTGGCCTCCAGAGGCTTGACCTGTCACCACCTGACTGTCCTCGTCCATGAGAAAGATGAAATGCCCGACGAGTTAGGCGAGACGTACCTGGATGAAGACGACAGGAGAAAGGTATTCGCCTTCAGCCGAGAGGACATGCTGTACGTGAACAAGCAGGGACCCAAACCTCAGCACGCTGGGTGGAAAGACGTGGAGTTCATCAAAGACTGGAGCAAGGGCAAGGTCCTGGTAGACAGGAAGGAAATAGAACCGCGCAACTGTGGAAACTACACCGAGCCAGGAGAAGTGGATCAGCTCTACTTCCAGTCTACCGTCATCATTGACATCCCTGAGAGATCTGATGAGCAGCCACCTGAAGATGATGGTGATGATATTCGACAGGAAGACGATGAGGAAGACGATGGAGACAGCTCAAATGGGAGAAAAAGAGCCAGGATCATTGCGGTTTTCCCAGGTTCTGACTCTGAGTAACCTAAAATAGTACCTCATCTTGAGGCTTCTGTGCAGTGATTCGTTTGAAACACTTGCTACATCTGCCTGCCACTGTGCCGAATATTATATCATTTGCACATATGTACAAATACCATCTTGAAAAATGTGATTCTTGCTAACCCTAACCCCTTGCACTTCCTCAGGACTACCCTGCTAAATCCAACAGAGCCCAAGCAGAGTTTCAAGTTCAATTCACTGTGACTTATTTTTAGTTGCCTGCTGAATCCAACATTTTGCATCAGGAATGTGCACAAGGGGTTAACTGCTCAATCCAATAGGCTCCATCGGGTATATGATATAGTTGGATCCTGTTGGATTCAGCAGGGTTAATCAGAAAAGAGGCAACTGATCAGTAGACCATTCTTTGGTATTGTGGGATAAAAAGGGAACCTTTTTTTTAAACATGAGGGAAAGAAGTAATATTTTAACCAAACTACCCTTCTCAAAACTACTCTTGTGCTTTGCAAGTGATTTGGGTGAATGCAGGACTGAATGTGTAGATTGCTGTCTTTGTCACCTAAAAGAGACCTAAATTTTGTTTGAAGCAGTATATGCGAGTCATTACCAACTCTTGTATTTTTGCCAGATTTAAGGAAAAAATCCTCGAAAGAGTGCCATGAAAGTTATGGTCGAGAGAGACAAGCTTTTGACCAATTCGCCGAAAGAATTGTGTTCATACATAAATTTCATTTGATTCCGTCAAGCTAAAGTTTGTAAGAAGCCAACATCTAATTTGGATTTAATCTCGGTACAATTTTTTGACAATGATATAGATGTTTAACCATTGTTATCAAAGAAACCGTTGTTTTCTTTTTGCAAAATCCTTTGAAAAGATAAATGCAACGTAAAACTTTTTTTTTTTTTCAGTGATGTATCAGTGTTAGTAAAAATTGAGATGACTTTAAGGAAGGCCAGAATATGAACTTTTAAAATTGAGAAAATCTTCCACAAAGAATTTTAACTTGTTGCACTGTTCCTTAAAATAAACATTTATGTCTTTTCTACACTAAATAATATGTTAATAAATGCATGCCTGTTACGTTTTATGTTACTCTCCGTGAAAGTTGCTAGACTAATTGATTTGTATGAGATTTAGAGGAATTGGTCAGTAGGCCCAGCAGAGGAAGGGGCCTATAAAAAGGGCTTGATAATATGAGTTTTATAGAAAACAGTTAAAGTGGTGCTTCCATATTCCATATTTACAAATGAGCACCTGCTAAATGTTTGAATATCTTGCTTTTACTTGCCAAAATATGTTTATTTCAGTCATGTTGATTTTTTTCCAGAAATTTCAGATTCCTTTTTTTTTTAAACAGAAAAAAAAACCTCTCCGTTGAACTACTTAATTAAGATAGCGTTTCAGTCATGGTAAGATTATTTTGGATTTGGCTTATTTGAAGAAAACCCTTTGTGATGGCAATATTATTTTGTAAGTTTTATCTGCGCATGAATACATGTAAAATATTTGTACTTTTTTGTTAAAGAAAACGTGTAAAGTTAAATACTTGCCAAAGAAAGTTTTGTTTATTCAGATATAGGTTGGACTTTTGGGATAGCAGAGCAAAAGTTTATCTTTTCTTATATGCAGTTGAGAATACTCCGTCCATGTGAACAAACTTTTGCACTTTATAAATTTACTTTTCTATTTTGAAGCAATTCAGTGCCTTTTAAAAACATAACTGTTAAAAGAGTTTTGTTTGCAGTCAAGTGTGTACTGATATTCAGATTTCATTTAAAATCCAAACAAGAGTTAAAGGGAATATACAACATTTGCAAACATCGAAAAATAAAACTACCAAGTTTTTACAAAATACCTTACTAGGATGTTGGTAAATGACAGTCTAAAGCATCCTGTAAAACTATGGCACCTGGTGTGAAGTCATTTTCAAGAAACTGGTATTTCTGTATACATTTCCAACGGCGGTCTGCCGACCACCATTGGAAAAACCTAACTATTTTTCAACTACTGCTCCAAATTTACCTTTTTTTGAGTCAAATTTGTTTTGCTATTGGTTACATGTTCATGAACAGGTGCAGGCCAGCTAGACTGGTTCCCTTACCTTACAATTTTCCAGCATCTATAAATTGATCCATTTTATCTTTACTGGACTCAGGGAACCAGACTACTTGAACATTTCAGAGTTTTTCTTGGTTTTTCCATAATTTTCGAACACAAAACTTCAAACATGTCAGTGTAACAATATTTGATCTATTATACTTACCCCTCAAATAGTTCATTTCTGAAAATTACAGCAAAAGCCAATGATGTACATTCACTTTAAAGGAATATTTATTTATACAAAGTGCAAAATTCTCACCACCTGAAAAATGTTTTGACCAGAATCTATATGTACATGCTGTACAGTTTTTTGGTACTTCTTGAAATATTTTCAAATGTGTTACAGTACTTTGTAAAATCTGTAGTAATATGTTATATATTTTTTAATAAAGACTTTAGCCAGGTTTTCACATGAGAAATTAACTTGTTTTGTATGTACTTTTAATTTTCTTTTTGAATTACCTTTAGCAGCTAGTATTGACGTTATTGCCAGTGTTGATGTTACTCCCAGTGTTTGATGCCTGTTCGAAGGCGGTAATAAAAGTGTGTATTTGATTTGAATGAATTGCCGGTTGCTTGTGTAGAATTTGTTTTGATACATTGTACTCTGTATGAACGAATAACTGGAAATTAGTGGTTTCAATCAAAGCATAGAGCAAGGAACCACTGTTTTTTTCCAACAGGGATACACGAGAACATTGATTGTTTTGCTTGTTTTGAGTTGAAAAAAAAAAATCTCAAACTCAAAGATGACTACTAAACCGCTGAAGTAACAAAGTTCAAATTTCCACTCCACCACCACCTCCATCAGTACTGCCCCTCAGCCGGACCCGTACGCGCCTGACAACATAAAAGAGCAAGGAACCGGATGACCAACAGTCCGAGATATTAGGCCAAAAAAAAATCTCCGGTTTCTGGTATGGAGCTTGCCCAAAAAGTGGTGCGGCGACGCGGCTTTTTTTTTTTTTTTTACCCGGTTTTTTTGCTTCAAATGTCGGCTGATGACTGCAAATGGTGCTGGGAGTCCAGAGAGTCCACATAAAGCTTATTCTCGATCATAACACCATCTAAAAACACGTTAAAATTGTGCAGCAGCAGGATTCCAGTCAAACCAGTGAGTTTGGCGGTTTGGAGACATCATCTTTTATTGAAAAAAAAACTTTTTCATTTTGCCGACGCGCATGGCTACGGCGACGCGCGCGCATACCAGAAACCGGAGACTTTTTTTTTTTGGCCTTAAGAGGGTTTTTTTATGCCTTGCTTCTACTTCTAGTGCATGCTGCTGTGCTGTGGGATGTGGCGCAAGCACGTGTACAGCGCCGGTAGTACTAGCGCGCATTAAATTGCACCTTTAGCTTTGCTGTCGAGCTAGCTCACTGTGACTTGAAGTGCCAACTGCGAACGTCAGCAAGGTTTGCCTTGTGGTTCAACCTACTGAAATCAAGGTAAGGAAAGTATCAATAATGTCAAAACTATTTAAAAAGAACGAGATACACTTCCTAGAGGTGCTGCCTATGTATTCACAAGGAGTCTTTTGCAATGTTTTGCGAACGGTCGGATGGTGTGTCGATGCTCCATCATGTCCATGGTGTGTTCTGGCATCACCGTGCGTGGTCGGATCACACACGGTACGGTCGGCTAGCGACTTGTAATTTGGCCCCTGCCCTACTCAACTTCAAGCCATGGTCAAGCAGACTCTCCGCCTAGCTTCTTTGCTTTATGGTTGAAGCATATGGAGGAATAAGAACTTTTTGTTGGGTGCAAAACAGTAAACAAAATTATGCAAAAGTGGTTCCAGAACATGCAGAACATCCCAATTTTGGCCCACAAAAGTGGCCCGCTCATTTTCAAAAGGTCCCGGTTTTTTTTTTTTTATACTGTAGTCTGTAGATCATGCTCTAGCTCTGTGCATGTGGTGCGATCTGAGACAATTTCTGGGGTAGATTATTAGTGGCGGGGTATTCTACAATTGTGCAAAGATTTACGCGACCCTTCATCTTCGACTTCATGTACTTTCATTGACCTTTTATTTTGCAGATTTTTTTTAAAAATTGATTTTCCAGTTGTAATTTTGTGCAAACACATTGCATTATATTGATCTTTATTTTGTGCATTGTCAGGATTGTGTTTGTCATTGTTTTATTTTAAAAAAAAAACCCAGTGATTGCAGCTTTCTTAGTATTTATTTATTCACTGAAATAATCAAATAAAAGGTTGGTTTAAACATAGAGCAATGACTCAAGTAGCTACCAAGAAAATAATGTACACATTTAAGTAAATTTTTAAGAAATCCAGTAAAAACTCAACGGTAAAGGCCATAATTAACAAATTAATCCAAAGTGTTGAAGTAATAAGTTTTAGAACCAGGTAAAAATAAACAAAATGAAGCTGTAAGGCCAAAAAAACAAAAACAAGAAATAATTTCTGCTACTGATTAAATGGCTTTTTAAAAAAAAAGTAGGGAAATGTTTATTGGCAATTTTTGTGTGTACAATCATATGGAGGTGTCTGCGTGTAGTCAAGGGACTAACAGCATAGCGCAAGGAATGGTAAAAGGTAGTAATCGATGATTTTCAGGGTTTTTGGCCCTCATTTTCCCCAAAAACAAATTAGGGTGGGGGCTGTCAAAATAGGGTATAGGTAGGGTAACCAGAAGCAGAATCTAAGCTCCTTAAAAAAAATACATAAGTTTCATTGAAGCATGGAGGAAGGAATGGTCCATGATTGGAGTTCCATCAGTGTTTGTTCCACTTTACTGAACTAATCCACTATAATTATTTTAAGCCTGTAAAGGATAAACATCCTTAATTTTAAATACCCAAAACCACATGCTGGAGTGTGTGGCCCAGCTGTCCCAGAATAAACAACACATTTCTTACACCACATTTTCAAAACACTTTTGCACAGTAGAGGCAGAAGTGCCTTATCTCCAGCAGAAAACAAAAAGTCTCTATAATCAGGCACCCTGCATGGGGTTAAACTTCAGTGTGGGCATTCTACCATAGGACTGTTTGTGGGGTGGCCATGGTGCAGTACATACAACCTATGCCAATTAGCACTTCAATCTGGTTGAGCAGGATAATTAATCAGCACAATAGCACATCAGCACTGCCCTATTGCCAGGACATTCCTGTTGGTTTCCAAGATTCCTGTGCTGTGGCCAGGGGCATCACATTACTCAAAAGTGGGGGGGGGGGGGGGGGGGGGGGGGCTATACCTTGATCAGAACTAATGCGAGTGCGAAGCCCTTACAGCGTGGGGTTCGGGGCCGCCTATTAAAGGGCCCTGAAAAAATTTTGATTCTAGATGCTCTGTGGTGTGATCTGAGGCAATTTCTGACCACTTTAACCAATATTTTCTTAGCAAAAGATACATTGTAGTTCATAATAGGGCCCTGTAAATGAGACACGAGTTAAAAACTGGGGGGGGGGGGATTTGATATTGTGACCCGCATCCTTCAATAAGGGGGGAGGGGGGGGGCCTCCCCCCCCCCAGGAGTGGCTGATTTTTGTTCTCTTATTACTTCTGAGTTGGTTGTAAATTAGTGTAAATGCAAGCTCAGCCCACATATTACAGGTGCATAACTTCACCCTGGGTCCCACAGCCACCTGTTGAAAAATACCTGAAAAGCTGATGATCCCTATACAGTGTGTATGAAAAAAATGTGAACATAATATAATTGATTGCCAGACGTAGAATGTGTAACCAACATAGATAATATAGGTATGGTTTGAAACATGCGCCTTTCCACTTTAAAATGAGACATCAAACATCAAAATCTGATAATTTTCGCCAGAGTTATGAGTAATTTTCCAAGAGAGGTCAAATTGACCATGGGACCAAGTTTTAAATTTTAGGCATTGGGACAAAGGTAGCCTAATTGCCTCTGTGTCGATAATTGCCTGGCTGACAGCCTGACAAAAAAATGTGTTTAGCAAGTAAACACAAATCTGGACACTTTCATGCTATCAGTTTGTAAACATGTTTTCATGCTAAACATGTTTAGCATGAGGTGATAGCAAGAAAGTGTTTAGAATGGTGTTTACTCGCCAAACACATTTGTTGTAGGCCAGGCAATTATCCACACAGAGGCAATTAGGCTACCTTTGGCCCAATGCCTAAAATTGAAAACTTGGTCCCATGGTCAATTTGATCTCTTTTGGAAAATTACTCATAACTCTTTTAAAAATTATCAGATTTGGACGTTTGATGTCTCATTTTAAAGTGGAAAGGTGTATCTTTCAAAC